CCACTAGAACATCAATAGAAATACCCTGTTTTCCTGAACACCGTTTCCCTTACCCAGTAGAACATCATTAGAAATACCCTGTTTTCCTGAACACCGTTTCCCTTACCCAGTAGAACATCAATAGAAGTTCCCTGTTCCCTGAACTCTGTTCCCCCTTAACCTATAGCAAACCATGCAGTCCCCTTAGTTCATCAGTAGGACCACCCTGCTCCCTATCTTCCCTTTAGTTCATTTGTAGGACTACCCTGTTCCTTCCAACCCCCCCTAGTTCATTCGTAGGACAACTCTGTTCACCGGTACCAAACCCTGTTCCCTCTTACTTCCGCAGCTCATGCCACCCACATTATACCCCTTTTCCCTTTCGACTTGTTAACCAGTGATCGGCCCCGTCCTGTCCTTCACAGATTTCAGCATTGCTTCATGATTTTTGGCAGCCGGGACGTTGCCTTCTAGAGGGAGGGGATAGGGTTACGGACTTCGCCAGGGCTCGATCCCTGGTCTTTTGGCTGCATCCCGTTCTCGGCCTGGCACCCTTTTTCCAAACCCCTCCTTTGGTACCATAGGATTTTGGACAACTGGCGCCATGCTGCAATTCGGGCGCCACTTTCAAATACTGCATTTTTCAGTTCTGCCCTCGGGGCCTTTGCAGAAATGCCCCTGGTACCGTACGTGTCACCGGTACTAATACCGGCTCTCCGTACGGTACGGGGGGCAGTCTCGTACCAGTTCTCTGCTGCTGTACTCGTACTCAGTGTGACTTGCTGTTTCCGCATTCGGAATCCAATACTTCGACTTTGTGCCTTACCACTGTGTCTGCGTCCGACCCTCAGTCCGAGTCCGTCGAGTCGAGTGAGTGAGTGTGTGTGTGTGCTCTCACTCTCTCCCTCTCTCTCCTCTCCCTCGGCTCACCCTCAGCCTCACGCCCGTTACATTCTCACCTTGGCCAGAATCCTAGCAGAATCCTAGAGCACACGTCCAGAGTCCTTGTGACAATCCGGATTCCCGTTTGGACCCACTCTTCCTCCCTGTCGAACCACAACTTTGTCCGTTCCCAATCTTCCCAATGCCTTCTACACCAGTCTAGAACTTCAAGGTTCTTGAGGTTCTCTGTGCTTCGGCGAAAGAAACATTGCTCTCGCTGCATGCTTCGGCCCAGTCTGAACACGATTTTCAAAGGGTTGTGGTCTGACAACGGATTCAGGACTGTGTATACATCCAGCACCACCTCCGCCTTGCGTGCAGGTCGATGCTCACCTGCTCCATTTGAAATCTGTGCTGTCAGGCTGGCACAGAAAATGGCTGCATCTGCAACTTTGAGTCATTGCGGGCCCAAGACCATCTCAAACGGGAAGTTGTCCAAGATGGAGAAGGGAAAAAAAGTGTTTCACTGTTCCTTCTTTGTTGAATGTCACGCAACGAAAAGTTAATATTAGGCAAGCATCAGTTGTACCATTTGTCACGCTCTTCGTTTCTAAAGTATTGCAACTGTAGTGGGACTTGAACCCACAAGCCGCAAAGCACCTGCACATCCTAAGCGTGGTGGGTAAACCAATTCCGCCGTAGCCGTTTCTTTCTGAAGTATGTATACAAGTTAGTTGCCTGGAAGGAGTATAAGCATGATGTCTACCAATTCCATCATCATATGCTTACGGGTGCAGCAGGATTTGAACCTGCGACCATTGGGTTAAAAGCCCAATGCTCTACCAACTAAGCTATACACCCAGAATCCAGATAGGCGTTTAGCATGACTTCCTCCTCTTGCGTGATGGTGCGTAAACCAATTCCACCATTAAGTATGTATACAAGTTAGTTGCCTGAAAGAGTCAAGTCAAGCCTAGACGGTCATAACAAGTGCTTTCCGAACCGTGCGAGATGGTCGCCCAACTCAACTTGCCTTGTTATTCTATGAATAAAATAAATAAAAAGCCAGAGTGGCGACCATCTCGCATGACATCCAGCAGACAGGACTAACGGTAAGCGCTGTGACCAAAACGGTAACCACTAGAGTGACAGCCAAACCAGCTCTGCTCAGAACAGTGCAGGTGATCGAGGACAACGAGTACAGAATATTATTCTGCCCAGTGCCCAGCGAAATAACTGCAAGAGCTGGAAGTCGACCCAGCAGAATGGGCCTGGAAAACAACAGCCAGGCGAACGGGGACGGAGCGGTGAACCAATATCCTCTCTGGCTTGCCTTTCCTTGGAGGAGGAAGTAACTCCTCCTGGTGGGTGCACAGCTTATCTCTAGCCTGTAAAAATGTCACACATTCTGCGTTTAAGATCATGAACTTCCCGATCACCAACTCCACTTCCATCTCCTCTTTCCTCCCTCCTCCAGACATGGTAATTATCACTCCGAAAAAATGTGCGGAATGAGTTATGATGTGGGGTGCGTAGCTGGCGAGCGGCAAGGCCAAGTGCTGGTGTGGTACTTGCTGATATGGCGAACCCTTGCTGACCTGGCGGCTAATCAGGCCCAACATAGCAGTGAGCGAACTCACGACCGTGACCAGCTGATACCACTAAGATACTTGATAAATGTCATTCACTTCCAACGAGCATGCAAAGTGCACACGGGCCTAGAAGAGTTTAGCGGCGTAGTCCGAGCCTACAACGTCCTACAGTCAGCTTTTACTGCAGTTCAAAGCTCGACAGCAACCAACTTGAAATGCCGCAGATAGTTGTTGGTTTGAAATTTGAATACCGCTGCCCGGAACGGTAGTCAACTTACTCCTCCCTCCCCCTCATGCTGCTGCTCCACCACCTTCCCCTCCACCTGCTTCTGTGTCTTATCTTCTCCGGCTTCTTCCACTCCCCCCGTACCTCCTCCACGTGCTGGTCCTCTTGTACCTCCTCCTCCATCTCCTTTGGCTGCTGCTCCTGCTGTTGCTCCTGCTGCTGCTTCTGCTGCTCCTATTGCTCCTCTTGCACCCGCCGCGTCTGTGATTATGGTCTTCCTACATTTTTGCCTTGTCCTCCTTCCTTCTTTACTGCTTCTGCTGTCCTGACCTGTGCGGGCTTTTTATTTTTAGTGTAATAGAAACCGCTCCTGGTCTTCGCTCCATTCCCTGGTCTGGGGAGCGTTGAATCCGATACCTATTCCACTGGCAAGTCAGCTATTTAGAATGACACCCACCACTCAACCTTTCCCCTTGCTATGGAGGAATAGCTAGGCTAGTTCGATATTCAATCCTATGCCATAGGAACCTCCAACAGCATCGATTCCTTCGGTGGGGGAAGGATTGACTATTGAATTAGCCCGGCGATTCATCCAGCCACTCGCCCCCCAACTCTATCTTCTATTCCCACCCAGCACGCAGGCCTCAACAGTACACAGCTATAATGTGACACCTGGATCACTATGGATGTACGGATGTGGCTGTGGCTAATGCAATCTTGCTTGCCGGAATCCATTACTTCTATGAATTGTTTTGTTTTTTGGTCATATATGCAAGCTGGCCCCGTGCCATGTGGATTGATGATCATTCCTGCTTTCGGTTTGTGTCCGTGGTGTGCTTTGCTGTGTTCTCCTTGTGTGCATCTGCTTTTCGTGTTCTTTCCTCTTTACAGGTTTGAAGGAGTCACTATCTCTGCTCCGGATGAGCATTTGCTTGTTAGAGATTTGACATTTGAGGTTGCTCCTGGCCAGTCTGTCATGATCATGGGTCCAAATGGCAGGTAAGGTAATGCTTGACTTCAAGCTATCACACACTTTGCAAACAAAGGATTCAAAACGGGCGATGATTACGCTGCCAGATTCCTCTCTCTCTGTCTGACACCCATAGATTTTTGCGTGCAACATCTGCAAGACTATAACTGAGGGCTTGACCTTCTTTTTTTTTTTGGTTGAAAACTAGGCTATATTCCTCTCTCATATGCCTCACGCTATCTAATCTCCCATCTAAGTCCAGTTTGGAGTCATTGAATGTTGAAGTTATGGGTTGACACGGACCTCCACCCATGCCTAATTTCCGCTGCAATCCCCAGCTACTACCTCCTAACCAACCAGGAAGGGCAAGCCAACTATCTCAGCTGGTGGACCCGAAGCATGCCACAGGGGGGCACGGTGAATGACGTGACAGAATCGAACCCACAACGTTCTGAATGCCACTTGCGTGCTCTACCAACTGAGCTAGGCCGTTAGCCCGTTCACCTTCTTCTTCTTCTTCTTCTTCTTCTTCTTCTTGTTTTTTTTTTTTGTCTTGACCATAATTCATTGATGGCAGGCTCTGGTGACTGTGGTGACCTTATAAATACCTGCAACAGTTAATTTGAGGTAACCGTAAAGTTACCGAAGTCCAACCTTCAGTCAGTTTTCGTCCTCTCATCTTCTCCACCTCTCTCTATCTTCTACATACTAGAAGTCTAGAACCCTCAGCTAATCTTGGTGTTACTCCAGCTATGGATGGAAGTACCTGACTTCGTCGCATGAAGATGCAACGAAGCACAGCTCCAGATACACTAGAACTGGTCTAGGCCAGCGAACGACCATTTCGTCAAAATGGACATCTTTTATTTTTTGAACGAAATTGAAACCGAGTTTTTTGGCCGAAAACTCGTCAAAATTTGCTGTTCCTGAGGGTCCGGCGTTTGTACAACGATGGACCCCCTGGCTGTACATGGACCTAGCTTGAGACTAGGGACATCCAGTGTTGCATACTTCAATGAGTATGGGCAGAACCAAAGATCAACCAATGTAGGATGAGCATATATGCAGCGGAAGTCTGATGAACGGACTGACTCACATAGACTGACTCACATAGCATCACTCCACACACATACAATCGTGCGGTGGTGGGGTCTGAGCCATACATAGAAGATGCTCAGCCCCCGTACACACATACACAGATGAATGGGG